ATGCCAAGGACAACTTGTTTTTTGTTGAGAAAGTTAGAAAAAAATAAAGGTAGAACTGATAGACTATAGTTCAGTATGTGGCAGGTCAGAACTCTCTGCTGTGGTCCCAGCTGGTTCTTACTGGCTGCTGCTTGACAGGTCATGGGGCTCCTTTTTGAAGAAATACATATTGAAAAAAGTGTCCTGTTTTAAAAATTGAATTATTGGCTAGGTACATGCCATTATTCTGGTACTAAGCTGCAGTGTGAAATTGGAGTAGATAAAACGTGTTAGATTCATATCAAGGCTACCAGCCAGAAATAAGGCACTTGAAAACAAAAGAGCAGGGAAGCAAAGGCTGTATAGATATTTCCTTTGTGTGTCATCTTTGGTGCTGCAGTTATCCATGCTTGTTTATGTAAAATAAAGCAAATCTGTTGCTGGTGAAGTTATTTATGTTGAAGAACTTTTATTTAAAACTTCAGAAAACTGTCTCATAATATTACTGAGGAGCATTCCATGTCATCTTTGTCATAAGCAAAGATGTTTCAGAAATGCTGACATTGCAGTTTTGGGCTGTTCCTGCTCTGGAAGAGTGTTTCAGGATCTACATTCTGTTTTAGTCCAAAAAAAATGAAAATGCACATTTGGGCATGTGTGGGCAGCAAGCAGCCATTTCTCCTCTGCTCTCCTGGCACTCTTTCTATGGCTATTGCTCTCTAGGTTAAGTTTCTCATATTTCCTCCTTGATATTTAGCCAAGTGTATTTCTAGAGAGCTTTCCTGTTCCTAGGCTAAATAATTCCAAACTCCATCATCTTTATAGGATGGAATCTCCATCCTCCTGATGATAGGAATAACCTTTCTGTGCCCCTGGCTCAAACCTAAGAATGTCCTTTCTTGTGTATTTTCCAACAGGTGATACAACACAGAGCTTGAGCTTTTTGAGGTCTTGCTGCTGCTTATTGATTGTATTCACAAGGTGTAACTTTAAGGTTTTTAATTTGAATTAATGTCTCCATTTGAATGGGAAATTTGTCCAAGACACTACAGCATTAAATTTATCTATTCAGTGTGTGGTGTGGAATGTGCAACATGATCAGGTTTGATCTTTGAGAAGGAGAAGGGAGCATGACAGGCCTCTTAACAAGCATTCTGGAATTTGGCTAGTACATCCATGGTTGAAATTGTATTAATTTGTAAACTCTTATCTCTGCAATAAAACTGGACATTTTTTCAGAATATTTTTATTGGTGCCACGAGGGTAATCCCCAGCAAGTTTTCTACTACGCATCCTCTTTATTTTTATTTTTTTTTCCCTCCCTGGCTATGACATAGTTTTGGCTTTTGCTCTAATATCTTTTTTTTTAATTTAAATTTACCTCATGATAGATTTTATTGCTTCACCTGCTCACCCTTGCAATAAATCCTCTGAAAACTGCTTAACCTTGCTGCATTTTCTCTGAGAACCTTTATATCCAGCTTTCAATGCTGAACATTTATTTTAAGCATACTGAATAACTGCTTTGAATATAAATCTGGCAATGCTGTGAAAAGGCTGCTAACATGTGATTGACTTGTAATTTTGATAATTTGATTATGGACCAACAGAACTAGATATTGGCCTGATTGGGGTCAACTTTTCATTGAGACACCTAGCAAGGAGAAAACATTGTAATGAAAAACAGGTGAGGGGGAAAAAGCCTATTAGGTTTTGTTTTGTTTAAAAAATAGTATTCTGTTGGTAAAGCATATGCAATTTTTAGAATTCAAAGCTGTGCCTGCTTTGGATTTCTCTTTGGTTGTGTGTGCAGTGATAGCTGTTCAGTGGTCACTGGCAAGACCATTCATAAAAACCCTAAAAAAGAGTTGAAGAGTCAACTGTCCAGAACCTGAAGGTCTAGAAAATTATAACATATTTATGGAAAATGCTAAGAGTTGTGTCTGGTAAGGTCCTTTTGTATTTATAGCATCCAATGAAAAATATACAAGGGAAAAAAGAGTAATTCCTAACTAATGTAGAAACATTGCTTATCTTTGTACACAGTAGTAGGAAGCTATAGGGAAATGAAAGGTGTAGCTTTTCAGATGCTTTTTTTGCTGTGTTAATAACTTTTAAAAGCTTTTAAATTATCAAGAGAAAATACTAATTATTTTTTTTTTAATGTATCAGACTGAAGCCTGTAAGAATAAAAGGAATAAGTACAGAGAATTTGTACATGAAACAGTTTTATTCAGACTGTTTAGCATAGCAAGCCAAGTGGGTTTGTGAAGGTCTACGAGTAGTGTCAGTGAGGTAAGGGAGGAGAGGGAATGAGTACCCACACAAGCTGTCTGTAATGTTCAGGGCAAGGTTTGCCTCTTTGTCTCTAAAAAAATAAAAGTAATGGCTGTGTGACTGTTGCCATTAGTATTAACTCAGGAGTCATTCTGGCTCTTCATAAAGCCAACAGCCTCAAGGAATGCTGTGCTATCCATCCTTACCCCTGGTGTTCCAAAGTTTGGTGTCGCAGTTGAACTCAGGAGTTGAATAGCAAAGCTGTTGCTAGAGGAAATTGCCATGGGTACAGAGGTAGAGACTTCACCTACACAGAGACCTGAATAAATCCTTTGCTGTTTTAATCTTCCTTCATAGGGTCTGTCCGTGCTGGGTAATTGTAGTTTGCGATCAGCTGCAGTGCAATTCTTTTTAAGTCAATGAATGTGCAATTTTTACTGTAAGCTGGGAAAGAGCATTCTACTTCATCTTGCTCTTGTGTCTAATTTACAGCTGATTTTTTGGGGGGCATTTTTTGCTAAGTGTTTAGGCCTCTAAAAAAAATAATATTAAAAACAAATATGCACTGATGCTCCAGCATTTCTTTCCTTAGTTAGAAACCAATTAGAACTTGTCATTTCTTAAAAATGTAGCCATCCACACAGCTCTGGCTCTGTCAGCAGGATCAGAGGAGCATCCAAATGCCTAAAATGTGGACTGCAATCTCAGATACAGTTCTCTGTGGTGAAATGGGAAGGAGCATCGTTGACTCTTATCACAGTGTTTCGGTGGTACTGGGAGGGTCTTTGAAAATGAAAAGCTCTTCTTAATTAACTTTTATTTCTGTGTGCTTGAAAGAGGTAATATTTCTATTCAATGTAGAAAACCAAATTGTTCACAAACTACAGTCATCACATGTGGTATACATGCTTTTCTCTATTTTCAGGCTACACCTATGCATTTGCTAGCTCTACATGTACTGCTTAGTCTTTGAACCTATCTTTTGAGTAAAACAACAAAATCTTACTTATTTTCTTTCGTTATTCTGCTCTGCTTCCATTGATGACTCTAAACTTTTGACTCCAGACTGGCAATATGAGGGTAAGATGGCAAAATGTAACTTCCTGAAGTGGTACTGGGAGGGTCTTTGAAAATGAAAAGCTCTTCTTAATTAACTTTTATTTCTGTGTGCTTGAAAGAGGTAATATTTCTATTCAATGTAGAAAACCAAATTGTTCACAAACTACAGTCATCACATGTGGTATACATGCTTTTCTCTATTTTCAGGCTACACCTATGCATTTGCTAGCTCTACATGTACTGCTTAGTCTTTGAACCTATCTTTTGAGTAAAACAACAAAATCTTACTTATTTTCTTTCGTTATTCTGCTCTGCTTCCATTGATGACTCTAAACTTTTGACTCCAGACTGGCAATATGAGGGTAAGATGGCAAAATGTAACTTCCTGAACATTGCTTGTCTGTTTTTAATTTTTCTTTTCCTTAGAATGTATTTAAAACTCTGTTCATTCTCTTTAATTAGATCTTTTTGTTGCAATTGAGTTCCAATTATGTTTGTTTCTGTTGTGAAGCTTTAATTATAATTATACCTTTGAATAATTTCTCTGCTATTTCTTTGGGTTAAATTACTGTCCTATTAATTCAGTCCTGAAGAACTGCTGCTTCCCTGAGATCCCTGGTGGTATCTCTAGATCAAGTCACAAGCAGGTTTATAGTGTAGCCATCAAACTGGGGTGGTGGTACATGACTATGATTCCATGGGTGTGTTCATGATATGGAAAGGAAGGCGTTACACAAGAGATAACAAAACGAACCATGTCAAGTGTTTGCTGTTTCAGTGTTTGTTTTACAGATCAGCATCTGAGATGTTAAATCCTTAGTCATAAGATTCTCCTTTGCTTTATAAAGTTTATCTGGGTAATAAAGAAAACAGCTCAGATTTTTATCCTCTGTGAGTGTAACTTAGCTAAGAGTTGTAGCTCAGGCTTAGGTCGTGTTCAAGTGAATATTGTCTTCAGTAGGCCAAACAAGCTAATTTGTTTTAAAGAAATAGTAACAAAACCTCCAGATCTTCTTCATGGAATTAGAAATAACTTCTCTTTTCATCTTTATAGATTGCAAATTGGCCAGGACAGGTCCTCCAGCCACAATAGTTCCTATTGATGAAGAAAGTCGGAACGGTGAGTGCAGCTGTTTTCCTGCCGCCCCTTCGGTCACCCCACGGTTGCTGAGCAGGGCCCAGAGGCATGTGTGGGGCAGTGGAGGATCCCCCTCCGCAGGGAGGACCCCTGTGCTTCAGATCTAAGGATTGATCTTGGAAAGCCTGGTAATGGGGATTGTGGATGGAAAGGTGACAGTGAGCCAAAACCTTGAGAGGTGTAATTTCTTTCTGAAACATCATGTATTTTGATGGCTTTGGTCTTTGGCTCCAGACAACTCTTGTGAACATGCATGTAGCTTTAGCAAGTATTTAAACCACAATGATTTGAAACACATCAGTAGTTTAGCTCCCTTGTTGCTAATATATCGGTTTACCTTTTGCCACCTGACAACTTGTGTCGGTATGATGTTACCAGAGGACAAAGATATGGCCAGTCTGTGGTTTTGGTTTTGGTGCTGCTGGGTGAAGCTGAAACCTTCATTCCTTGAAGCCTGATAGACGTGAATATTGCTGCCTTCTGGGTTTCTTGCCTGTTGTCTCACACTAACAACATGAGTTTATGGACAACTCTGAAATGGCAGAACTTCCTTGCGCCTAGTCACTGAAACTTCAAAAGAAAATGTATGTCTACTGTTTTTTTTCTTTTTATTCTCCTGTCAAATCATGCAGTTCTGGAATTGTTGATCTATGTACCTAGAGTTGTGTTTGTGCAGCATATACCCTTCACCCTGTCAGAGTCAAGGCTTTGTACAGATGTTTCTTACTCCTGATAATAAGTTACCACTCTTTCCTGTTTTTTATTTTGTGTTGTTTTTTTTGACCTTGTAAACTAGGAGGCACAGTTGTGTGCTGCATATAGTTATGATTTATCATAGATGAGTATTGAAATGGTGAACCAAGTCCAGATTGTGCTGGTTGGACCTTTCTGCTGTTGTCCTTGGGGGAGCTGCTTGCTGTTGGAGTTTCTCGAGGGCAGATGGTTAAGGGTGTGCAGGTTTCACTGGGGAGAGAGCCAGCACCACAGTGCTGGAGAGCCTGTTCACTTGGTACTGGGGTGGCTTCTAAAAACAGGCTGTTTCTTCTTCCCATGCTGATTTTTCTTGCAGTCGAGGAACTAAAAATTGATGATTGGACTCAGCAAACTAAAATTCCCCTGTTAATAGTGTCCACATCTTGAGTAGAACTTTGTTCTTTTTGCTCTGGTTTTGTAATGCAGCCTCATTGTCATAACTGTAACTTGTACAATGCAATATTAATTTCAGATGGAAGCTGTATCATGTTTATATCATGCTTATATCAAATGAAGAAAAAACAAAGTCTTTTTTTTTTTCCCTATTAGAGTGTTTAGATGGTGTGATTACAGCATCCATGACGGGCTTTACTCTCTAATAGCAGAACTTATGTGTAATCTGTGCTGCAATATTAGTCCATTATCATTAAACTGGTTTGGCAGATGTGTTACCTAAATATGTCAAAGTTCTGGAATCAATACTGCGGGTTTGGACTTTATCTTTTTTATTGCATGAGCCATAGAAGGAGTTTTGAGATATGATGCTTATGAACTAAGTGTATCACTTCGCTGAAAGGTGTCAAGTGTTCTTGATTATACGTAGGTAGCACTGGTGTAGCTACCTAAGGGTTATAGCCCTTTTTCTAAGGTGCTAGCAGCACTTACCTGGAGAATGTGGTGGGAACCAGAGCCAAAAACAAGGCTAAATGTTAGCCATTCTGTCATTTGAAATATAAACAAAAATTCAGAGAGAAAAAAGCTTACAACCTCTAATTGAATGGCATAATATACCATTTCTCACCTTTTTAAAGCTTGATTCACCCTTTGCTAAAAACTAGGAAGTTTAAAATTCTTGTTCAAATGGAACTTGTTCTGGAAGGAAGATGGATAAACTGAGTATGGTGGGGAAAGGTATGACTATCCTAAAGGCTCTGTACTCATCTGCAATGATTTAATTTATGATGAATTCTTATGATCCATTAATTCCCCATTAAAGAAGTAAAATTGGAAGAAGAAACTTCATTTGGCATTACAGTTAGTGGAAGTGACACACCTCATCTGTAAGTCACAGTATCTATGAAGTAAATGGATCTCCTGGGAGGCTGGCTCTTGAGTTGGAATGTCCTTAAACCATTCATTGTCTTAGCTGAAGTAACTTGGATCTTCCTCTCAACCACTTGTGCTGAAATGAATGGAAGTGAAATCTCAGTACAGTGTAGAGGCTCAGTGACTGAGTCGATGCTGCTACTCTTGTACTTCCTGTTAAGTAATTGTCTTCCCGTGAGTCTTGCTAAAAATGAATGTAGATACTTCAAAACAGAAAAGTAGTTGCAGCAAACGATGGGGAGGAGCTCCCAGCAGGTTTTGTTTTGTAGCACCTGTCTTGTCTTAGTTTCCTCTTTTTGTGGTGGTGTTCACCTGCCCACAGACGGTGTTTATAGGTAGTGTCTGGCTATGCCATCAATGCTGCAAAATATTAACACACTATTGTTAGTTGTTATTATTGGTAGTTAATACAGTGATGTTTTGGTTTTGGGCAAGCCACTGTTGTACCCTGAGGGGTGGGTACATTGCCATTTGTGTGACACTGCATTTTGCCTGCAGTGCCAGTTTGTGCCCCACAGCTCTGTCCTCAGCCAGTTTCCTTCCACACAAACTACTGCTTGGAGTTCCCAGTGAAAGAAGCAGGGTGAGATCTGGCTCAACACCAGGAAGGCCTCAGATTTTCATGGTGTCCCCTCTTACATTCAGAAGAAATAGTTTGGTTATCAGAGCTCATCTCCTGTAGCCTTTCATCCTTCTCAAGTGTGAGAAGATGAATCCCTATAAATGGCAAGGAGTTATAAATAAATCAATACAGCTCTGCCACCAGAGAAAAAAACCAAAAAACCTTTGTAAAAATCTTGAGAAGGGGACAAAGATAGAGGATATAAATGTTAATAAGGAAGGTCAGCTGAAGTGTTGTTAGAAGAAAATGTTTTAATACCAGTATCTGGTACTTTGGGATCTTTGGTATGAGGACTGGGAGTTGCTGCGTTACAGAGCACACAGCCTGAAAGTCAAAATCATGGATCGTGATGCCAGGATCAAAGGGGTGAGTGCATTTACTGTCTATGTGGAGTCAACAAAGTAGTTTAGCAAAAATTACCTCAAATAATTTGCTATTCAGTCTGAAAGTTGAGAATATATATTAGTTAGAAGTGATAGCAAAGCTGCAGTGATAGACATTTGACTAATACCCAGATTATCTGTTATATATTTCCAGTGACCAAACAAGCTTTGTGCTGGAATTGCCAATAAATGCAGGGAAATAATCCACCTCTTTAAGTTCTATTATTTACAAATATGTCTCTAGATTACTTAATATATGAAATCTGATCAGGTTATTTCAGTTCCACTGCATATTGGACTGTCTTCAAAACAATAACTGACTTCACACCTCTGTGTGACAACTTATTTCATCCAGAGCACATACTAATCATGTTCTGGCAACTGAATAAACAGAAAAGCCTGCTCTTTAGAATGATCTCTTTCATTCCAGTGTGTTGAATGTTGCTTCTAAATATACTGAGTTCAATAATTTCTAATTCACAAGAAGTCTGGAGACCTGGAAATCTCGGGGAATAACAATATTTTACATAATAACTATTCCTTGTTTTCTTAGACGCTAAATTAGAATATCTGAGCTTTAAAGATCTGAGAGAGCAGCACAGATGTTAAAATTTGGCTGTTTCCCACCATTGGATATATGTATGTTTTTATCAAGTCACTTAGGTACAATAGTATGATAGATTGTAGTTGTGCTCCTGTGAAGAATCCTAGAAGGGGTGAACTTTACATTTCTTAATGTACCAATTAATTACTTTTTTCATTTTTCCTTCCTTTGACTTGATGGGTGATAGTGCTTGAGATCTTATTAACAACAAAATTTAATTTTTCTGCATGTATGGGTTTTTTTTTATTTTTACTAGTACTTTTTTTTTCATTACTGAATTAGAGACGTGGTTTTAGCTTGTTTTAAAGACTGAAGAATGAGAATTATTCATACTTCAGACTTTTTCATTGCAGCTGCAATGAAAAGGCCCCCAGGTTTTCGGGGGCCTTCATGTAGAGGTACCTGTGGTTTTTTTCCTCAACATGAGCATACTAAAATACTAAAAGGCTTTACTTGTGTTTCTTTTTTAAAGGGTTTTTAATTAAAGTAGACTATTGGGAACTTGTTTCTAAAAGAGGCAGAACTGAGATGTGCTAGGTACGACTGATGAAAATAGAATGTGAAACAAAAGGCAGAGGCTGGGGGCAGAAGCAAGCAGGCTGCAGAGCTGCAGGATGTTGAGTGTCCCGTACACCAGAAGTGCACAGACAGAACGTCTCTGCCTCTGTCACCAGCTGCTTGATGTTTGTGTTTTAGTTCAAAGTTAGAGTTAATAGAATTTGGGCAAGCACTATTCAAATTCCAACAGGTCCTTGTTTTGGGTGGAAGTTGCCTACTTAGCTAAGAGCCAGTATGCTAGTCATGTGCCAGGTATCTCTGAAAGGCCTGCCCTAATTAGAAAAATAATATGATCTGGTGTCTTGATAATGCATTCATAATAAAGACTCTGCAGTTATGAATATTTTGTGTTCTTGCCTATTGTGGATAAACCAGTGAATACTGTTCTGTTTTGATTTCATTTTTGTTCCTCCCCCCTGCCCTCACGATGCTATAGAGTGCTCATGAATAATTGGACCATCTCTACAAATTACATGAACCTCCTTCTCCTCTCCATACATCTCTCTCTGTAGCCCTCACTGGGGATGATGGGTATTTATGCAAGCACAAAGAGGTGTCGGAATGAGCTTTCATGGCTGTAGGAGGCTTTGGTATTATTTTGATATCTTTTCATCTTTTGCAATCCTGGCAGCAATCTTTTGTCAGCCTGACTTCCTGGGGAGGCAGAGGATGTGTGATCACTACAAATCCCCATCAATAACTCCCTGCAGTGGGGGATTAAATGTGAAATACAGCA